ACAATCGCTAAACAGTCTCTCGAAGTAAGAAACACGAGTGGATGCGGGGGTGGAGCTTGATGGGTGGGTGGTGGCGATTAGGCTTTGGCGCCGATACGGACCTGTCGTTTGTTCTTGTCCATTGTGTTCTTTAAGTGGTCTCTCACGCGTACGCGGGCCTCAGCAGTGTCAAAGTCCAGACCAAGGTTGATGATGCGAGGATTCTGCAGAACGAGAGCCGTGATCTCCTGTTCCATCTTGACTCCAAGGATACGTTGGCGCTGATTGGCCAGACGAAGGTCAGACACGGCGCTCTTATTACCCGAGATGGCCTCGAGCAGTTTGAGGATCATGTCACCTGTGGGAGGCGGGACGGGGGTGAGAGAAAGGGAGATACAACTGATGTTTAAGTGAGATTATTTACAAAATAATTATATAGCAGTCTACTGCAAGGAAACACCCTGAAGACGGGGGAGGGGGCAATAAAGAAATAGGAGCAGTCTAGTTACGCGTCCTGAGGAGACTACCTGGCCCAGACATTAAAACACCCTATCTTCGGACACAGTTTCTTTTCGACTTCAGGGAATTTGGAAGCGTCACGTATCCCTATTATCAGCTAGTTGAAAGGTAATGTCATGTTCCAATCTGCTCCACGCTCACTTCCGGTCGCTGGATCAAATTCTGCAGCTGATGTAAAAGCATCTATGTAACTACTTTCTCACTATAAACTAATGCTATCGGAATAAAACTACTGCGCCCTCGGCACGGTGATGGACTTCATTGTTTACGAAAAACTACAGTAAACAAATGCCCCGAAGCTAAAGTTATCAGCAGGCCGTATTACAGCATACCACAGCAGACGCATCTCTTCCGCGTTCCCACCCCCCTCACGGCGGCCAAGGTCTGCTACACCAAACCTCCCTACGGTGGATCTATCCCCCCCCTTCCTCTCCATCTGTGTTTTTGATGACGGAGCAGCCCCCTCCCGACCATGTTGCTCCGACTCCTCCTCGCTGCCGCGCCGGGATTGAGGCCCACCCGGCGGGGCTCTTGATCCAAAAAGGGCTACTAGCCAGCCAACCAGACGAATATCTAAAACTAAAAAGCTCGAGGCAATCCTCGGAGGCACACGGCACGACACCTTCCTGCGTGTGAATAGGTATGCCAGCGTCACAAGGCCATCGGTGCAATCAATATGAGCGCAATACGCGGGACCATGATTTACTGTAACATGGGCATAGTTTTCTTCTGAATTGAGGCAA